AAAAATATTTATTCACCTAAAGGGAGAAACAGAATCACCAAGGGCAGGCGCAAAAAAAAAAAACAGCAAGAGCAAGAACAGCTTCCAACTTCCTGTTTCCGTTTCCTTGCGGGAATCATTGGAAATCTCCCTCCTCCACCTCCCTCCCCTTCTTAGCAAGCTGGTAAGTCGCTGCTGCTGGGTGAGGAAAGGGAGTGAGGGATTGTGAGACTGAGTGGAGAACTATCACGGGGCATTTAAAAATGAAAACTAGGTGATTGCAGCAGTAGGCTAGGGTCGGAGCAGCAACTAGTTGTACTGAAGCAGCCACAACTTCCCCAAATTTCACTCCCTCGGGAGCCAGGGGTCCCAGATTTTGGGTGCATGTTGTAAGTTAGCCCGCGTGAGATACCTCGGTTCAAAAACAGTTGCTCTATCTTGTACTGTTTCACTCAGTTAAAGGCCAGGAGAAGAGTTTAGTATATAGAGAGATAGGTCCTTAGCTAGAGATCCAGGGTTTGATAGCCAAGTCAGGACAGAACTGCTAAAAGCATCTAATTGTAAAAACTATAAAAGAGCCACCCTTCTTTTTCTTTATTTACTGATTTCTCCAAGATGATTGGAGTTTTAATAGGTAGGTTGGAGAATGTGCTACATGGGATCTCTTTGTTTATAAAAGAGCCTGAAATTTACTTAATAGGTTCAGTAGGGCTGCCTCATTTACATGGTAAGCACAAGACAGAGGATCCAATCCAGAAAGCCTGAAGATTCTGATGCCTTTGTAGTGCTACAGTTTAAGGACACACTGTTCTTGAAAAGCGAATATAACTATAACAACCATTAGATGAGAGACTACAAAAACTATTGTAACTTTTGTTCATGGTACTTGTAATTTGTTCATTTAATTACAAGTTTCTCCACCTGTTTCTGAAAAGTGATAGAAAATACTAGGTAGGAGGGCAGGACAAGAAGCTATGGAAGGAGCGAAGCAATCTGGAATTAAGGAGAAACTTTCTAACAGTGAGGTCAATTAACCAATGGAACAGTTTACTGTCAGGGGTTGTGGGTGCTTCATCACTGAAAGTTTTTAAGAAGAGACTGGACGGTCACTTGCCTGAAATGGTATATAGGCCAGGGTCTCCTGCTTCAGCAGCAGGTTAACTAAAACACCTCCAAGTTCTCTTCCAGCTCTATTCTGATTGACTGTATGTGAGATACTAAATATTGTCCACATTAACTCCTTGCTGAATTACCTCTAGATCTAAATTTTGTCTAAACCGTTTGATTCCATTATTTTTTTATTTTGACATTTTCAAGTTTTCACACATGAAACAGGTTGATATTGAGACGGTGACACACACTCTCTCTCCCTTTCTCTTCCTCTCTCTCACCCTCCCTCCTTCCCTCTTCTCTCCCTCCCTCTCTCTCCTTCTCTCCCTCCTTCCCTCTCTCCCTCTCCCTCCCTCCCTCTCTCCCTCCTTCCCTTTCTCCCTCCCTCCCTCTCTCTCCCTGCCTCTCTCCCCCTCCCTCTCTCTCTCTCTTTCTCCTTTTTTGCCCCACTTTTAAAATTTTATACCACTTCGGTAGCAAATTATCATGATCTTGACTACAAACATTCATACTTTCTGAGGGGACAGATACCTTTTTCAGTTTTATTCATTGTTAGAGATTTCCCCAAATATGGAATATTAGCAAATAGCAAATAGTCTTAGCAAATAGTAGGCAGCAATTTATTTTTAGGCCTGGCTTGCTTTGAAATCAGTATGTGCTTTAGCAATGTGAATGAGGATTATCAAAAGCAACATAGTTTATTACCATCACGTTTCATGGACACTGTCTATGAGCGTCCATGAATGGGAGCTGCAAAATTTGCATTTCTAATAATTGCCTCAAGATCATAAAAACAGAGTCTATTCTTGCACGCCGTTCAGTCAAGAAGCTTGTTCACTATTGATTTTTTTTTCTCCACAATAGTAGTCATTTTTTAGAATGGCAGCACCTTTAACAGGATCAGATCTCAACAATAAAGATGAAAAAAAAAGGTTTCTGACAATATTTTAAAGCAAGATTAAAAATCTATGCTCCTTCAACCCACAAAATCGTTTGGATGGAACAAGCAGTGCAGCCTTGGAAAGCTTTTTTTTTCTTTTTTTAACTATTTTGGACAGCCTGCGAATTGAAGGAAATGCTTGTGAACCCTGAATAATTGCTGAGCTGAACGTAAAAGGATGCGGAAGTTGCAACTTCAGAGGAAGCTCAGGTGACTAAATGCTTCATAAGAGAAATAGAGGTGGTGATAGTGGCAATAGCAGTCTCACCCGAAAGTCTTCTCGAGCCCTGAGTTTTTTTCTGCATGAGAAATATTTGGCATATTTATTCTGTCATTGCACTCCTGTCCCCATTGTGTAAAGTGATGCAGAGCTCATCCTGCAGAGTTGATTCTTTGCGTCCTGGTGGCAGATCTCTAGGCTGCAGGCTAGATGGTGCCACTATATCCAGTCTTTGGAGCCTCCTATTTTACCCTAGAGGCATGGTATATAGGAGGTGATCGAAAGAGTGTCTTATCTCCAAGTAAGAGGAGGTATTCATGTGGAGTTCTTTCTCTCTGAAAGCACACAAATCACTTACAGGCGGAAACACAGAAGACGGACGGTAATAATTCCTGATGGCTTCCCGCACAGAACTGCATCCTCCATGCAGATGAGGACTGCAAGAAGGCTATACTTCCTCTATCCTGAAGCCAGGCTGTTTATTATTACCTATCCTCTCTCTCTCTCTGCATGCTTTTTTCAACTCTGGATTTCCAGGCCACCCTCCACAAAAGGGTGCAAAAAAGATGCATTGCTAATATCATAGCATCTTGGAAAGTGGAGAAGTATCGCTAATCTCTGTCACTTTTTGGGTTTAACTTCCGCTACCTAAAGATTTCCCTCTTGGTTTTCCCTCTTCCTCTCAATGATGCTGGAGTAAAAGCATTTTGTGTACATGTTTCCAAATTTCATTAGTATAGACGCAACGTTTTAAAGCGTGGAAAGCGAAGCTATGTAGTGAAATGGTTCAGTGTATCAATATGGGTGAATATCACAAATTCTCCAGTTTTGTGTTGGTTGGCAGATCCCTTTGGGTTCGTTCTCTGGTGCCTCCTAATAGCTCTCAACTGATGACAATAATGAGCTGACTTCTTTGGGCTTCAAAGCTAAGCAAGCACTAGTGGCACAAAACTATTCCCATAAGTGCTTTTCAGTTTCCGTATTGTACTACTGTTTCTAATAATTAAAAAATAATTTCCTTGGATTTCCGCTCCCAGCTAGCAGGCATCCTCTTGTGTCGAACCAATTCAACTTCTGCCCGTTCTTGGCTGAAAAGAATATACGTAATCTCTTCCCATTGCATGATCATGGATAATGAAGCTACTGTTCTATGAAAAGGCTTTAGTCTCCGATTAACTAAGTACCTTTCTGTCTGTTTTGATGACCAAACGAACAAGTTAAGGAACAAATGCCAGAGAGTCTGGTCTTAAATCTGAAGTGATTCGGTGTTGAGATTTTGATGCTCATCTGCCTTTTTTTTTCCTGCCATCTATCTCCCATTGATCCTATATACCAGATGGAAAATATTTTGCATTTATAGTTGTCAATGAAGTAGAGCTTCTGCCTTTCTATTCAGCATTATCAATGATGATGGATTGGATACGGTTATTTATTTATTTTTTTACGACCCTGTAATGCCTTGATTTGGGTTGGAGTCAGGACGGCTGAATGGAGCTGAGCATTTACTGGCCAGATGCCCTTCCTGCCACCTCTGTAAAGTTCACAGCTGATATTTTCTCTTTGCAACCCTGATCTGTTGCTGCCTCTCAACCTTCCGAGTGGGAGGTGAGCATCTTCACCTCTAGGCCACCACAACTGCTTGATGATGGATACGGTTATAATTTAGCAAAATCCTGAGGATCTTTTTGTTCTGTAAAAAAGGAAAACTGGCTATAGTCATAGTGTCAGGCTTGGCACACCTAAACAGTATTTGAGGGGCGGGAGGGAGACATAGACAACAACATTACTTTGATTCTTTGCTGTTCAAAGCTGGTTTTAAAAGAATGCATCAACTCAACCCAAACAATTTTCTTTAACACTATTTTTGGAAATAAAGCTAGTAGCATTCACTACAATTCTAGAAGTTTAGCTGTTTTTGCAGGTATTTTTGTTGTCTTACTAAAAATTAAGCTAAAGTTGCAAGGTAAATGTCCATCAGTTAGTATTTACTATATGGGAATAAGATGTTTATTTCCTTAAGTGTATCATTATGGATTTGTAGATGACCTAATTAGTTGTTCAGTGGTTGGAAACATATTATCCTTAAACAGGGATTGGTTCAATAAGAAAGTCACTAAACCTGTCTCACTAATTTCTGAAGAATTTCACACTGGGTAAGTAAAGCCCATTTAGATGTGCAGTTGGCTATTGTAAAATAGCCTAAATGGTTGCATATAAAATTCCAGGGGATGAGGAAAGATTTGAAGGCCCGCTTAACTTCTCTGAAAAATTAGAAGGGATTGCAGCCTTTTTCAAACTATGTAGACTTGATAACAATTTTTTTAAAAAGAGATTATACTATTACAGTCATCTTGCCTGATCTTTAAATGACATGACCACATTTTTTTCAGAAATCAGATTTGCTATGCCATTAAGTAACAGAAAGAGGCTTTCATAATTCTTTGTTTACTGTGTGCAGTTCTGTAGCATTTCTTGTTAGGGCACCAAAATGTGTTCTTAAGCATTTTTAAAAATAGAAACATTCAAAACGGTTAGAATATTAATTATCTTTTAATTTCATTTTGCCCCTTATATCCATTTTCTATCTCTGTTCCCAACAAGAGTGCATTTAATTTTATCTATTTATCACTTTGTCTTTTGCCACTGGGAAAAATTGGGGGTGCAGACTTTGATACTTTTAAGACAATATGCTTTAGGCCCATTAATCCAGAATGGATTGCCTTGATTCAGTTTCTTCTTCTTTGTTTGCAGCTGGTCAGCTAGCCGGCAGCTCTTCTGTAGAAATGTATCGTCAAGTGTTGTTGTCTGGCTGCCGCTGTGTTGAACTGGACTGCTGGAAAGGCCGAACTGCTGAAGAGGAGCCAGTCATTACCCATGGATTCACCATGACAACAGAAATATCCTTTAAGGTACATTTGAGAATATCCCTGTAAAAATACAATGGCAAAATAGAGTATTTATGCACATGTGTATATGCAGATATAAGACACACACAGGTGAATATAGAATGTCTCCAGAGAAACAAATGATGCCTATGTTAGAAATTCAATTCGATAGAGAAAGGTAAATAAAATAAAAGCAGGAATTTAAATCATCAGGCTTTTTCTTAGGTGGCTGTGTGACTCTAGGAGAAATGGACTGCTTTCAAAATGTAGAGAGTGGCTGTATTCACACTCCTATGCACTCCAAAGCGTTTTTTTTTTTTTTTTTCAAATTATTTCTGAAGTGTTGCCCAGCCAATGTGCGTTATTTAACTTTTACAATAATGAGGTGGTATATAAAGCTGCACAAAATGATAGGAAGACAAAGGAATTATTAATCTTAATTGTATTCTATATTCTTAATATTTTGCTCCATTATACTTAACATTATGGAATGATTATCTGTATAAGATAGTAACTAACTCACTGGTTTCTGAGTAAGACCAGTTAATCTCAGTCTTGTACTCATTTGGATGGATGGATGGATGGATGGATGGATGGATGGATAGGTAGGTAGATAGATAGATAGATAGATAGATAGATAGATAGATAGATAGATAGA